AAATGCTTGTTTTTCATTGCCTGATTATTATTATCAGCTTTATTATTTTTAGTTATTTAGTCATATTATTTCTATATTAGATTCAAACCTATTGAAGTATAACTTGGCAGATATTTGCTGAAGTCTAGGTATATTAGCAGAAGAAAATAAAACAGACCTTGTTCAAAGAATAAAAAAATTTTCACAGTATGATGGTTGTAGAGAAAATGATGATATATTAGAAAATCTAGAAACTACAAAACAAAATATAGTTAACATAGACTCTATAGTCTTCAGCTATTATTTAGAAGTCTCAGATATATTTGATAAGAACTTACAGACCTTGAGAGAGTTGGTAAAAAAAGTGTTGAATGTGCAAAAGATACCTTTTCAAAATCTAGTTTGCATAATGAAGAATTTTATTGTAACTCTAAAACAAAACCAAATAAACTAACAAAGAAGAGAAAGTTACATGAAAGTGATGGTACAAAAGATTTTTTGAAGAGAAATTATTACTAGAATTTAAAAGTTAAAAAATGCAATATTAAATTTTGACAAAAAATTAAATACAGTAACACTTCAAGTACAAGTGATATAGCAAAAAGTAGAAATAAAGAATATTTAGCCAAATCATAAATTTGACAAAGCATGTGATAATACAAGTATAATATATTGAAATCTGTTAGAAAAGAGCTTGATCTAGCAATAGAATCTCTGTTAGCAGATGATATCACAAATCATTTAAATTTGTCAAGAGAGCAAATTGAAAATAGAATATTTATATTATGAGTAGCAGTGGGTTTCAGTTAAAAAATTGTGTTAGCCCCTACCTGATATACAAGATAATTGGTTGAAAGGTAAAGATTTACTAATTGAGAAGACAAAAGCTATTATAGATATAAAATGAATAAACAACACAAGATATATAGTGTTAAAAAAAGCTTGGTTTTTTCAGAAAAAAAGTAACAATTAGCTAAGTTATTTTAATAAATCAAGACAATATATAGTATACAGAAATAAATATGAGAATAGAGAGCATGATAATGCAAAATATGAGTAATTATACTCAGGCCCAAAAGTTAATACTAGTAGTAGGTCGAATTTACATAAAAGAATATTTGAGATATTGGATAGAGAATGTGAAACTGCCAAGTTTGATAACAAAATAGTTAGAGCCTGAGATCTTATTGTTCTCTAAAGAATTGTTAAATTTAATGAAATAGCCAGATCTACTTTAATATTCATACTCAGAACCAACAGTTTTAGTTAAAACAGAAATAAATCATTTAATGAAAATAAAAGCAATAGTATTTGTTGCAGATTTAAAGACAAGGCTAATATAGTTACTAGAAGTAAGTCTAATTTTTTGGTGCCAAAAGCAGGTTCAAAGAAATGGTATTTAATTATCAATCTAAGATAACTAAACAAAATATTGCCTGTGAAATCATTCAAATTTGAGAGATTCTTAATCTTTTTGAGAATAGTAAGTTGAAATTGGTAAATAATAATATTAGATCTAAAGGAATATTATTATTATCATCATATATTAATAGACAAAAAGGCACAAAGGTTACTAGAATTTGCAATTGGAACAAGTTGATATCATTATTATATACTACTATTTGGCTTAAACAAGTAGTATTGATATTTTTAAAGGTTATAAGAGCTTTAATAGGGCATTAAAGGTTCTGTAAAATATTTTATAGAAATCACATAGACAATATTTGGGTCACTCACCCAAGTTAGAAAATATTATTAGAAATAAGAGACCTAGCAATATTGAAAGATTTGAGAGATTATAGATTTGTCTTAGCAGAAAAAGGCAACTAGAGCCTATACAAAAAGCAAATATTTATAGATTATTATTGAACAAAGTTTTAAAAATCATTTCTGCCTAGAAACAAATTAATAAATCTAAACAAGACCTTCAAGTATTCAAAAATTCAGTATTTAGAGCTCTATGCCAGTGATATTAATTTTGACTTCCAGTGAAAATTTCTAGCCTTCTAGTAAAAATTTCTAATAGTAAAAGTTCCAGTAATACTATTAATTTTTGCTTCTAGTAGAGTTCTAGTGATCTTCTAGCACTTTTAGTTAACAATACTGCTCTATACAATTATAGATACAGAGAACAAGAAGTTCTAGAAATAGACTATACTGATTTAACTAATATCTCAAGCAATTAAAGATATAAATTGTATCATAAAAAATTTAAAGAAAAGAATAGAAG